CCTGGAGATACAGGACACAGTGATAGAACACGTAGAAAAGTACAAATATCTAGGGGTCTGGCTCAATGAAGGAAGGAAATATCTAGAGGAACACGAGGAGAACACAATTAGAAAAGGGAAAAGAAATTCATCTATTATGAAGCTCAAGGCACTATGGAACTATAACAGATATGAAGTGGTCAGAGGTATATGGAAGGGAGTGATGGTGCCAGGACTGTCTTTTGGCAATGCAGTGCTGTGCATGAAATCTGAGGTTCAATCAGGGCTAGAAATTCGACAAAGAAGCGTAGGCAGATTGGCGCTGGGAGCACATGGAAAAACACCAAATGAGGGAGTACAGGGGGACATGGGATGGTCGTCTTCTGAGAGCAGGGAGGCAATTAGTAAGTTGAAATTTGAACAAAGGTTGACTGAAATGGAGGATACGCGGTGGGCACGTAAGGTATTCAAGTATTTATACATGAAAAGTTTAAACACAAAATGGACCAACCGAACCCGAAAGCTTACATTCAAATATCTACACACAGGTGATGGGGCTGAACAGACTACGTCAGTGAAAAAGAAGGTGAAAGAGGCGGAGAGGAAAATGTGGGAGGGGAGAATGCAGGAGAAATCAGCTTTAGCAGTGTACAGGTCACGAAAGCAGGAGATAAAAAAGGAAAAGCTATTTGACAATTCACTGGGAAGTGCTTTGCTGTTCGAGGCAAGAACGGGAGTTTTGAGGACACGGACATATAGGGCTAAATTTCAGGAGACCGACACGTTATGTGCCGCCTGCCATAATGATAGCGAGACACTGGAGCACTTGGTTTTGAAGTGCACGAGGCTTCGTCCTGCCCTCCCTGAAGGGGTAACGGATTTGGCCGGGGCCCTGGGTTTCACTGGCGACGATGGAAGGATGGTAGAGAAAAAGATTACAGTGACAAAGAGACGATTAGAGGATTGGTGGAAATTATCTAGGGAAAATTAAATGATGGACAACTAACTAGCACAGCTGGGAACAGGCGGGACAGAGGAAAATTGGGACTCCCTCCCGCGTGGCTCCGGCCCAAAGTCTCAACCCTGTCTCCCAGTGGGTCCGGTGCTGGGGTAACGCCGAAAAGGTTTGACCAGAGGAAAATTGGCGACTCCCTCGCCGGGGGGAAGAGGCAGGGGGGTGATGTTTTTTAGTTTTTTTGCCCGATCCCCCGAAGGTCATCCTGGTGATATCCCACACTGCCTGGTGATAGTTAGGGGGAGAAAAATTGGTCTTAAAAGGGCGGGAGGAATCACGTTTTTGTCTTTTTAGACTTAGGCTAGGTGGCGCAAGCTACCGCCCGTTACAAAGGGAATAGCCATTAACATCCATCCATCCATCCATCGTCGGCATGACCTAGTTCTCGTCCCGCGCTTCTGAGCCGACGCGCCGACGCACCGACAAGGTCGGCTCAATCGCACGTGGAGTTTCAAAACAGAAAGTTAGATGCACATTTTCTTTTTTTACCGCTTCACCTTGTTAATATGCACCAAATGTAGTAAGTTTTAGTGTGTATTTATAAATTTGCCGGCCGAAAAGCGAATCCGACTGCTATAAATATGACGCGGTCGGTGCCGGCGCAGCGTGACTGTATTTGTTTCTTGCTCGCGGACCGAGAGAAAACGAAATAATGGGAGATAGATGGACAGATCTATATACAAGTGGTCTAAGTTGCTAAGCTAAGGTGCCTTTATGTGCACGCTAGTTAGATCAGCCGCGACCTGCTGCGTCCGGCCGATCGTGCTGGAGCAGCCGGCGGACGGTACGCGAACAGCGACGGCACCGCATCGTTCTTCAAAGACACCTGTTTCGTGGAGAAACCCGCAACAGTCAGAAGTCACAGATCCCGTGTGTAGGTGTCTGACGTAAAGTGCTGGGAGCAGAGCTTCGCGTTGGAGCTCGGAGTCAACGGTCTTCCGAAGTCTATCCGGCGAACGGCACCGACCCACACCTTGTGCCTCTTCCGGTCTTTTGGGAACTGGTGGAACCGCAGCTCCGGGTTGCGCACCGGGTTGTTGGTGCAACCCAGAGCACTACAAATCCTGCTCGACATTGCCCAACGCGAGTCCGGCGGGTCTCTCCGGCTCCACGACGCGCGCGTGAGCGAGCGGCACCGCTTCGCTCTCTTCCGCGCTGTCGCGGAAGCAATGCTGGAGTTAAAGGAACTGCCTAGAGGCTAATAAAAATAGGGAAACACAGGATAATGTGGTAAACACCTCGTGCCGTCAGCAGAATCGCAGAATGCCACGGAAAACGAAGCGCTCGCGGCGTCCGTACGATAGCGTAGGACTAGAACTACGTCATTGCCCAGTGTTGCTTGACTAGCTCACCCGGTGCCAGCGTTGCTCACCCGCTTTCGGGCCGCTAACCGAGCCGGGAGAACATTTTTAATATTGGTTTTAATCGGTAACGCGGCGTCGGTTTGACGTGATATTTTGAGTATGACCGTATTTTGACCTCCTAAAGCAATATCAGTCACTTCGATAGGGTCGACTTTTTGAGTGGAGTTGCCCTTTAAAGGGCAACTCCACTCCATTTTTACAATTTTTGGGTTATGATCTGTTTACTCGAAGCCGGCGACCCTGAATCACGAGATATAATTTGTTTTTCGGTAGTGTGTATAGTTCTGTAGATATCGCGAATGCAAGAATTGGTCCGGTGGCACGGCGAAACCGAAACTACCGGTTGAAGCAGCTTGGCAACACTGATACTAGTGGCGCGTCGTCGGCATGACCTAGTTCTAGTCCCGCGCTTCTGAGCCGACGCGCCGACAAGGTCGGCTCAGTCGCACGTGGAGTTTCAAAACAGAAGGTTAGATGCACATTTTCTTTTTTTACCGCTTCACTTTGTTGATATGCATCAAATGTAGTAAGTTTTAGTGTGTATTTATAAATTTGCCGGCCGAAAAGCGAATCCGACTGCTATAAATATGACGCGGTCGGTGCCGACGCAGCGTGACTGTATTTGTTTCTTGCGCGCGGACCGAGAAAACGGAAAAATGGGAGATAGATGGACAGATCTATCCACAAGTGGTCTAAGTTGTTAAAGCCAAGGTGCCTTTATGTGCACGCTAGTTAGATCAGCCGCGACCTGCTGCGTCCGGCCGATCGTGCTGGAGCAGCCGGCGGACGGTACGCGAACAGCGACGGCACCGCATCGTTCTTCAAAGACGCCTGTTTCGTGGTGAAACCCGCAACAGTCAGCAGCCGCAGACCCCCCGTGTAGGTGTCTGACGTAAAGTGCTGGGAGCAGAGCTTCGCGTTGGAGCTCGGAGTCAACGGTCTTTCGAAGTCTATCCGGCGAACGGCACCGACCCACACCTTGTGCCTCTTCCGGTCTCTTGGGAACTGGTGGAACCGCAGCTCCGGGTTGCGCACCCGGTTGTTGGTGCAACCCACAGCACTGCAAATCCTGCTCGACATTGCCCAACGCGAGACCGGCGAATCTCTCCGGCTCCACGACGCGCGCGTGAGCGAGCAGCACCGGTTCGCTCTCTTCCGCGCTGTCGCGGAAGCAATGCTGGAATTAAAGCAACTGCCTAGACGCTAATAAAAATAGGAGAACACAGGATAATGTGGTAAACACCTCGTGCCGTCAGCAGAATCGCAGAATGCCACGGGAAACGAAGCGTTTGCGACGTCCGTACGAGAGCGTAGGACTAGACCTACGTCATTGCCCAGTGTTGCTTCACTAGCTCACCCGGTGCCAGCGTTGCTCACCCGCTTTCGGGCCGCTAACCGAGCCGGGAGAACATTTCTAATATTGGTATTAATCGGTAACGCGGCGTCGGTTTGACGTGATATTTTGGGTATGACCGTATTTTGACCTCCTAAAGCGATATCAGTCATTTCGATAGGGTCGACTTTTTGAGTGGAGTTGCCCTTTAAGAAGATTGCATCAAAGTTTAACATCAAAGTCGTGTTATCTGCGCCGGACAAACTAAAGAAGTTGTGTCCGCAAATTAACAACAAGCACCAGCAACGGGGTGTGTGCGGAGTTGTACATCAACAAAGATACGTCGAATGCCAATGTGCAGTCGTATACGAAATACCGTTTACTTGTGGGAAAGTGTATGTGGGTCAGACAGGAAGGTGTGTCAACGATCGTCTAAGGGAACATGCTGTGTCACAAAAGTCGTTGCTAGCAGGCCACTTAGCCATACATGTCAGGGACTGCTAGTGCTCCGCCTTGTTCAGAAAAACAAAAATTCTGAAACGTTTAGGGGAACGGCGAACTCGCGAGCTCTACGAGGCAAACATTATTTTGTCCAGTGGGGATGCCTGCGTAAGCGCGCCGTCCGTGGCTTTGTCACCAAAAGAACTTTACTTTTTAAGTCGCGATCTTTAACTATCCTTAGCTTCTGTGAATATCTGAGACGTAAACTTCCTCTTTCTTTTTTCTTTTTTATACCGGAGTTCTATGCACGTCGTCCCAGGATTCAATCGTTTTTAAAGAAGTATTTTAAGCGAGCAGCTTAAAATTGCGGGTTTTTGCGGGTTTTCATTATACATTTTTAAAAACATTCTTAGGGCCTTTTCCTCTTTCTCTTTTTCATTAAACGTCAGTTGTTAGTTCAGCACTCAATCCTGTCTCCTTTGTCTATCCTTCCTCGTCATATTTGCGCTGCTAATTCAACATAATGATACAGTTCTGCACGCAACAAAGAAATGAGTTATTTTTTTGCCCGTAATGCTGTGGACAACCTAACGAGGCCTGAGAAACGCGAGCTCGCCCGCGGAAACACAGCGCCAGGAACATACCAATAATTCCTACTTTAACCACCAAATGGCACCGCTGGATTTTCTTTTATTATTTTTTTTAACACGAGCGCACACAACGTTTAATGAAGTATTTTCTAACAGTGCGACTATGCTTAAGCAAAACTCAACCTCGTTAACCGGAAGAGCCAGCATCCGATAATATAACCGGTGTAAAAAACGTGCTCAGGCAGGCCCGACTGTTATCGTAGCGCAATAGATAGCGCCTCGCCGTGTCAGTGTCCTCGAGAAAACGCAATTACGAAAGGCATCTCCTCTCCACACACTTCTTGGCGGCGATCACGTCGGCCTTCGTGCCCTCCGTTGCCTTAACCTATCTTCCTCCTTCGGCAAGTACTTGCACTTGGCCGGTCTTGGTCCGGTCGTTCCTGACTCTCAGACATGACCGATCGAAGACTACCTGCATACAAGAAGCACGTTACGGGATGGGTCGCCGCGAGGGACGGCGATTGGTCCGACTTCGAAGCTGCTTGCCGCTACCAACCAGGCTCAGAGGACATCATCCTGATGACCTACCCCAAGTCAGGAACGACCTGGGTGCAGCACATGCTTCACCTTATGGTCCACGACATGGCCTTGGTTCCTGAAGGCCGTCGGTTGGATAGCTTTTCCCCCTTCCTGGAGAGAGGAGGCATCAAGCTGCTTCCAGGATTGGATCGAACTCCAAGGCCCATAAAGACGCATTTGTCTTTCGCTGTGATGCCCTGGAGTGCGGTGCCCCGGTACGTGTGCGTCCTGCGCAATCCCAAGGATGTGTGCGTCTCGTTGTTTCATCATGTGAGGGGATTCCCAGACTACCATTTTGAGGATGGCAGCTTTGCCGATTTCTTCGAACTTTTTCTGGACGGTGAGGCGAATTGCGGGGACTACTTCAATCACCTTCTGTCCCTTTGGAACCGTCGACTTGAGCGGAACGTGCTCCTTCTTACCTACGAGGACCTCATGGCGGATCCACTGGCGGGAGCTCGGCGCCTGGTAGACCACGTCAGGTATACTTCCCAATGAGCCGCACTGGGAAATAGCGAGTCGAAGCGTCTATTGTCTTGCATTCGGGTGTATTACGGCGTGGTGTATTTAATAAGCAGGATTTTTTTACCATTAATTTTAAGAAGATAATGCAGCGACGGAATCCCATAACCATTCACAGAGCACCTCATCGATCTTTCTATAGAATCCCAGGAGACATCGTGGCGAGAATGGCGGAGCTTTTCCGTTGTACACTCGTGCCGACCCTAAGGCGTCGCATGGTGGATTCGACACAGCGCACAAGAAACGAAGACAAAGTAGATGAGTGTACACGGGGCAAGCGCTTACTCTCAGCTGAAGTTTCTATTGTGACAGAAACACATAAGTAAACAACAGCATTCCACACCATGATGGCCAATTCAGCTCGTGTCGAGGTAGCATATCTCTTTATGTAGAATGACCGATGTCTGGCCTACACATTGCCCACTCCTTTCCTTTTTAATCGTGAAGGCCTCTGAAATTTCCCTAATCATCTGACCTCTCCCCCCCCCCCCCCCCCCCCGCCCCTCCAGCAATTTTGGCGTGATGGAAGTCGGCTGCCATCCACCCCCTTCCTGCTGTTGACCGCAGAGACCATGCATACTCACGTAATCTTTCATTTTTACATGGGCCCGTTTGGCCAACGTAAACCTTGCCGCACGTCAACGGAATCCATCGTACATTTCGCATATTTGTTCCTATGTTTGACTGAGAAAATGCGCCTGGATCCACTTTTGTTGGCAACTCTTGGGCCCAATTGAGCGAGTTTGCTAGGTGCAGAAAACACCAGCACGTCGTATCTCTGTGACACGTTTTTGAGATAGTGGTATATTTGATGAATATAGGGAATGACTATCGGTCTCTTGCTTGGATTTTACTCTGTGACTCTCCCCTCACTTTCTTAAGCAGCGACTCTGCAACAGGTACTCACAACGATGTGGGGAATCGTATATCCTGGAAGCGGCATGATTCATTATTTCTTACCCTTAGAAGGGCAGAATGCGCAGATTATTTTTGCTTCGTCTTCGATCGAAGTTGCCCTTTAAAGGGCATCTCCGCCTATCTTTTTGAGCTGCCTAGTCCAAAGTCATCATCTGAATGCTGGTGGCGTCCTTATTCCGAAATGCTATTTCGTTTCCACAGACACATTTTACGTAACTAAAAAAGTCAAAATTTGTTTGCCACCGAAACCGAAGTTTTCATTGTCCCCGGTTTTTCCCGTTTTCTCCGCCATGCAATTGCGAGGACACCGGCGAGAAGCAAGGCGCGCGACCGACAAACAGATACGCTCGCGCCCACCTTGCTCGCTATTAACAGCGAGCAAACAGGGGCGTTCGTGCTATTCGTGCTATCTGAAGTTCATAATAATGTCTAGCTGTACAAAGTATGACCTTGTCCTACGTGCTGAACTACGTGGGGGAAAAAAAAGGCAATTGTTATTATGGGAAAACCGTTTTTGCAACTCGCTGTGCTCCAGCGGCGGCTCGGTAGAGGTTTCCTACACTCGCTGCCGGAAATCCGTTCTCCTTCTATCACGACCAATCAATTACGCAGGCAAAAAAAAAAAAAAAAAAAAAAGTTTAAAAAACTTTGCAAAATTTTTTTTTTTTTTGCAAATTAGGGAGTTTTAGTAGACCGTGTTTTCCCCTCCGCTAAGCCCCTCCGCTACCCGGAACTCTACAGCCAAGGCCATCGGCACGCAGGCGCAGAGGTGGTTTCTTCGTTGGGGGGAAACTCGGTCTAATAAAACAACGGTAAACGCTCTGAAGGAGAGCACAGCTAGGTGCTATACGCGCTTGTCTTACATGAATGCGCGTGCCATTTGTTCTAGGTTTGCTTTAGCAAAGTAGAGCCCGAAATTAGTGCGTTCTCTTTTTTACGAGCTCTGTATGAACGACGAAAGGGTAGCACCAGGAATTGGTGTATGCGGAGGGCAGGTCAGTCCGCTTCTTGCACAGGGATTGCGGTGATGTTAGAACGCCGCGTTCTGACCGCCTCTGGTTGGAAGTATTGCGGGTAGACCTACGTCTTCCCACTATTCTTCCAACAGAGCCAATCGCAGCTCGTCGTTCTGACGTCACTGCAACTCCGCAAGAAGCACACGAACTTGCGCTCCGTACAGATTTGTCCCTGACCCGTGTCCCTGCGTGCATTCTGCGCCCTTTAATACATCCTTTTTATCCTAGGAGCTACGTGTATGCGGGAAAAAAAAATATCACTGGTGAATCCAAGCAGTCCCGCCTATCAGCGTCGCCGACAGCGCGTCTTGCAGTGTCACACCACGAGCTCGACGTTAGCACGCGTCGACGCCATGATGGACGCATCATGCAGTGTCACACAACGAGCTCGAAGTTAGCACGCGTCGACGCCATGATGGACGCGTCTTGCAGTGTCACACAATAAGCGCGACGTTAGCACGCGTCGACGCCATGCCGGACGCATCATGCAGTGTCACACAACGAGCTCGACGTTAGCACGCGTCAACGCCATGATGGACACGTCTTGCAATGTCACACAACGAGCGCGACGTTAGCACGCGTCGACGCCATGATGGACGCATCATGCAAAGTCACACAACGAGCTCGACGTTAGCACGCGTCGACGCCATGATGGACGCGTCTTGCAGTGTCACACAACGAGCGCGACGTTAGCACGCGTCGACGCCATAATGGACGCATCATGCAGTGTCACACAACGAGCTCGAAGTCAGCACGCGTCGACGCCATGATGGACGCGTCTTGCAGTGTCACACAACGAGCGCGACGTTAGCACGCGTCTACGCCATGATGGACGCATCATGCATTGTCACACAACGAGCTCGACGTTAGCACGCGTCGACGCCATGATGGACGCGTCTTGCAGTGTCATACAACGAGCGCGACGTTAGCACGCGTCGACGCCATGATGGACGCATCATGCAGTGTCACACAACGAGCTCGACGTTAGCACGCGTCGACGCCATGATGGACGCGTCTTGCAGTGTCACGCAACGAGCGCGACGTTAGCACGCGTCAACGCCATGATGGACACGTCTTGCAATGTCACACAACGAGCGCGACGTTAGCACGCGTCGACGCCATGATGGACGCGTCTTGCAGTGTCACGCAACGAGTTCGACGTTAGCACGCGTCAACGCCATGATGGACACGTCTTGCAATGTCACACAACGAGCGCGACGTTAGCACGCGTCGACGCCATGATGGACGCATCATGCAAAGTCACACAACGAGCTCGACGTTAGCACGCGTCGACGCCATGATGGACGCGTCTTGCAGTGTCACACAACGAGCGCGACGTTAGCACGCGTCGACGCCATAATGGACGCATCATGCAGTGTCACACAACGAGCTCGAAGTCAGCACGCGTCGACGCCATGATGGACGCGTCTTGCAGTGTCACACAACGAGCGCGACGTTAGCACGCGTCGACGCCATGATGGACGCATCATGCATTGTCACACAACGAGCTCGACGTTAGCACGCGTCGACGCCATGATGGACGCGTCTTGCAGTGTCACGCAACGAGCTCGACGTTAGCACGCGTCGACGCCATGATGGACGGATCATGCAGTGTCACACAACGAGCTCGACGTTAGCACGCGTCGACGCCATGATGGACGCGTCTTGCAGTGTCACGCAACGAGCGCGACGCTAGCACGCGTCAACGCCATGATGGACACGTCTTGCAATGTCACACAACGAGCGCGACGTTAGCACGCGTCGACGCCATGATGGACGCGTCTTGCAGTGTCACGCAACGAGCTCGACGTTAGCACGTGTCAACGCCATGATGGACACGTCTTGCAATGTCACACAACGAGCGCGACGTTAGCACGCGTCGACGCCATGATGGACGCGTCATGCAAAGTCACACAACGAGCTCGACGTTAGCACGCGTCGACGCCATGATGGACGCGTCTTGCAGTGTCACACAACGAGCGCGACGTTAGCACGCGTCGACGCCATAATGGACGCATCATGCAGTGTCACACAACGAGCTCGAAGTCAGCACGCGTCGACGCCATGATGGACGCGTCTTGCAGTGTCGCACAACGAGCGCGACGTTAGCACGCGTCGACGCCATGATGGACGCATCATGCATTGTCACACAACGAGCTCGACGTTAGCACGCGTCGACGCCATGATGGACGCGTCTTGCAGTGTCACACAACGAGCGCGACGTTAGCACGCGTCGACGCCATGATGGACGCATCATGCAGTGTCACACAACGAGCTCGACGTTAGCACGCGTCGACGCCATGATGGACGCGTCTTGCAGTGTCACGCAACGAGCGCGACGTTAGCACGCGTCGACGCCATGATGGACGCATCATGCAGTGTCACACAACGAGCTCGAAGTCAGCACGCGTCGACGCCATGATGGACGCGTCTTGCAGTGTCACACAACGAGCTCGACGTTAGCACGCGTCGACGCCATGATGGACGCGTCTTGCAGTGTCACACAACGAGCGCGACGTTAGCACGCGTCGACGCCATGATGGACGCATCATGCAGTGTCACACAACGAGCTCGAAGTCAGCACGCGTCGACGCCATGATGGACGCGTCTTGCAGTGTCACACAACGAGCGCGACGTTAGCACGCGTCGACGCCATGATGGACGCATCATGCAGTGTCACACAACGAGCTCGACGTTAGCATGCGTCGACGCCATGATGGACGCGTCTTGCAGTGTCACACAACGAGCGCGACGTTAGCACGCGTCGACGCCATGATGGACGCATCATGCAGTGTCACACAACGAGCTCAACGTTAGCATGCGTCGACGCCATGATGGACGCGTCTTGCAGTGTCACACAACGAGCGCGACGTTAGCACGCGTCGACGCCATGATGGACGCATCATGCAGTGTCACACAACGAGCTCGACGTTAGCATGCGTCGACGCCATGATGGACGCGTCTTGCAGTGTCACACAACGAGCGCGACGTTAGCACGCGTCGACGCCATGATGGACGCATCATGCAGTGTCACACAACGAGCTCAACGTTAGCATGCGTCGACGCCATGATGGACGCGTCTTGCAGTGTCACACAACGAGCGCGACGTTAGCACGCGTCGACGCCATGATGGACGCATCATGCAGTGTCACACAACGAGCTCGACGTTAGCACGCGTCGACGCCATGATGGACGCGTCTTGCAGTGTCACACAACGAGCGCGACGTTAGCACGCGTCGACGCCATGATGGACGCATCATGCAGTGTCACACAACGAGCTCGAAGTCAGCACGCGTCGACGCCATGATGGACGCGTCTTGCAGTGTCACACAACGAGCGCGACGTTAGCACGCGTCGACGCCATGATGGACGCATCATGCAGTGTCACACAACGAGCTCGACGTTAGCATGCGTCGACGCCATGATGGACGCGTCTTGCAGTGTCACACAACGAGCGCGACGTTAGCACGCGTCGACGCCATGATGGACGCATCATGCAGTGTCACACAACGAGCTCAACGTTAGCATGCGTCGACGCCATGATGGACGCGTCTTGCAGTGTCACACAACGAGCGCGACGTTAGCACGCGTCGACGCCATGATGGACGCATCATGCAGTGTCACACAACGAGCTCGACGTTAGCATGCGTCGACGCCATGATGGACGCGTCTTGCAGTGTCACACAACGAGCGCGACGTTAGCACGCGTCGACGCCATGATGGACGCATCATGCAGTGTCACACAACGAGCTCGAAGTCAGCACGCGTCGACGCCATGATGGACGCGTCTTGCAGTGTCACACAACGAGCGCGACGTTAGCACGCGTCGACGCCATGATGGACGCATCATGCAGTGTCACACAACGAGCTCGACGTTAGCATGCGTCGACGCCATGATGGACGCGTCTTGCAGTGTCACACAACGAGCGCGACGTTAGCACGCGTCGACGCCATGATGGACGCATCATGCAGTGTCACACAACGAGCTCAACGTTAGCATGCGTCGACGCCATGATGGACGCGTCTTGCAGTGTCACACAACGAGCGCGACGTTGGCACGCGTCGACGCCATGATGGACGCATCATGCAGTGTCACACAACGAGCTCGACGTTAGCACGCGTCGACGCCATGATGGACGCGTCTTGCAGTGTCACGCAACGAGCTCGACGTTAGCACGCGTCGACGCCATGATGGACGCATCATGCAGTGTCACACAACGAGCTCGACGTTAGCACGCGTCGACGCCATGATGGACGCGTCTTGCAGTGTCACACAACGAGCTCGACGTTAGCACGCGTCGACGCCATGATGGACGCATCATGCAGTGTCACACAACGAGCTCGACGTTAGCACGCGTCGACGCCATGATGGACGCGTCTTGCAGTGTCACACAACGAGCGCGACGTTAGCACGCGTCGACGCCATGATGGACGCGTCTTGCAGTGTCACGCAACGAGCGCGACGTTAGCACGCGTCGACGGCGTGACGGACGCGTCTTGCAGTGTCACGCAACGAGCGCGACGTTAGCACGCGTCAACGCCATGATGGACGCATCATGCATTGTCACACAACGAGCTCGACGTTAGCACGCGTCGACGCCATGATGGACGCGTCTTGCAGTGTCACACAACGAGCGCGACGTTAGCACGCGTCGACGCCATGATGGACGCATCATGCATTGTCACACAACGAGCTCGACGTTAGCACGCGTCGACGCCATGATGGACGCGTCTTGCAGTGTCACACAACGAGCGCGACGTTAGCACGCGTCGACGCCATGATGGACGCATCATGCAGTGTCACACAACGAGCTCAACGTTAGCATGCGTCGACGCCATGATGGACGCGTCTTGCAGTGTCACGCAACGAGCGCGACGTTAGCACGCGTCGACGCCATGATGGACGCGTCTTGCAGTGTCACGCAACGAGCGCGACGTTAGCACGCGTCGACGGCGTGACGGACGCGTCTGCCGCTCTGCGGCGGCTATCGACGTGCTTCAGCGTCTTTGGCGCTTGGGGCAGGTCGGGGTTCCACTAACGATGACGTCGTACGCAGGCCTTGTCTTCTAGGAGATGTCGCCCAGGCCCGCGCTTACCTTGGAGTTCCGACAACCAGTATAGCGACGTAATTTTATTTGCATCCACACACTATTGCATTTGTTTATAAATGTAAATATCGTATACAGTCGCTTTCAACACCACGAAGCTCTTATCGTGCACGTACTCTGCACTACACCGACCCAATCGCTCCTCGGGTGGTGTTATGACTTCAAGGGTGCGCGTGCCTGCACTCATTTATGGAGAGTACTCACTGGACGTTATCTTTGTGGGTGTTGTTTAGAGCGCATGCTCAGAACGAGCTCACAATAATAGGTTGCTAAGACCGGCAATCTTGACGGTGAGCAATGCACGTAGTAACTCTGGAAGCTCGCCACCAGCGAGCGCCGAGCTGTCGCGCACACAGCTATGGCCGCCAGTGACTAGACCCTATACTTGTTACCCGAGCGGTCTTTACCTTGAGCCAGTAATACATGTTTGAATGTTTTTAGATTTTTATTTGTGATGCGGTTTAATTGACAACAGTAGCAGTCTTTTGTAAATTAGAGTAACGCGGTTAGCGTAAGTCGAGAACAAATGTCAGGTGATGAGAAACTATGCCAAGCTGAGATGACTATCGATGTAGCCAATGGATCTTTTTAAGTTATAAATTAAACGCCAATAATTGCGGCAGCTAACCCTTCGCAGTTGCATGCGTGTCATTTTGTATTTACTCGCATTTTCTTATACGAAGATTATGAAAGTATAAAAACCTCTACAATCAGCTCATAGCTAGTACAAAATAAGCATCGAACACCAAAATATACCACTCTAATACCACTCACATGTTCACATTGTAGCCGCGGGTGTGCACTGTAAGAAACATCGTGGTTGTCGAATTCGCTTTCTTGGCGCGCCGATCAGGTGCATGTACGTCGAAGAATCCGAAAACCACGCTATACTTTGTTTCAGCTCATGTCCAGACATACAATAATGGGACCGATCAAGCAGAGCCAAAAGCGCGAGTCACTACGCCTTTTCCGTTTATGATGAGTTCAGCGATGATAGAACGCGTACAAAAACACGACGAACACCAATGATGGCCTGCTTTTGACGCTCTCTGGATGGACATAGAATGAAACGACAAAAAAAAAAAAAAAATTCGAGCCAACTTTTAGGAAAGCACAATTTTTCTTCAATTCCGGTGGGCGCTATTAGGGACTGCAGTGACCTCTACATCAACACGCCGTCTACAAAAAAGCAGCCAGCGTTTGTCCACACCTGGTGTGGGCACGGAACGCGCGCCGAATTCAAATTCGCGCGGAGTTGCGCTGCAGTCGGCAAGTGCTCCGCGTCATGCCGGCTGCAGCCCCACCGCAGTGCTAGTACACCATAGCAGTGGAGAGACGTAAAAGTCGCGCATCGCGGTAAACATGGTGGCCGGTGAGGGCCGACGGAAAAGGAGCTCCATTCAGGTTAGCAGATGTCCTTTGTTTACTTCACTATCTTTGCTTACTTTGCACCGCGACGGATAAGTGTAGTCGGCGCACTCGAACAACGGAGAATAAGTTTTGCTTCCCGGTGATATATATTCTTTTTCATATCCAACCGTTTACGGGATAAAAACTGCGGGATGAAGTTGCGAATATTGCGCCGCCGTTCACGCTTTTTCCTTCAACTTTATTCTGTTTTTTTTTTTAATTCCCCCCTCCCCCTCCCCCCCAAAAAAAAAAATTTAACGTTTGGGAAAACGTTTCGTTACACCATCTCTGCACCCATTGTTTCAGGCGCAGTTTTCCGTCGGACTGGCGTGAGCCCGACCTGAGGGAGCTTGTGGCGGCGAGCAGCTTCGAGGCCATGAAGGCCCAGTCCCCGGACAAGTGGTCCAGCACACGGCCCGAGGGCGCTCCCGGCTTCATCCGCAAGGGCCAGGTCGGGGACTGGAGGAACTACCTCACGCCGGAACAGAACGAACGGCTCGAGCGGAAGTTCCACCAGAGACTCGCCGGCACAGGAGCAGAACACCTCTGGCCCACCGAAATCGGACTGCCGGCAGGACTGGAGTCCTCGTAGGAACCGTCGGGACATTACTCAATCAATGTGACCGGGGTGCAGCAAATGCCCGTTGATCTTAATTGTAGCTCGAAGGCGATTTGAGATCAAATCTGTTTAAAACTCTAATTTGATAAAAAAAAAAAAATTAAGTAATTAGAGTAACGTAAAAGCGCGAAAAGGAAACGTGAATTTATGTATTGATGAATCGCTGTAAACCAATCCTATTTACCCGGTAAATTTAGAGAGAAAATTTGAATTGGCGTACAAGTGCATCAATTAAATTTCTCTGCTAAACTTAACCGGGAAACGCTTCCCGCTAAATGTACAGATTATATGCCGAAAATCATAATAATAAAAAACTGTATAAAAACGTCTTCCAGTTTCCGTTCTGTGCACCTTAGCTGCATCATGGAGGTCGAGCAAGTTGATTTGTTATTTTCTGGATTGTCATTTTTTATTTTCAAATTTCCGAGACACCGTGTGGTGGTAAGGAATTAAGAACAAAAAAAAAAAAACTCTTATGAAGTTTAGTTAAAAAAATATTAGTATGTGTCAAGCGTTTAATCACTAGCTTATTCGCGTATATACACATACCCGGAGCCAGACGAAATGCCAAATGTTGTTGGTTTAAACTTTAAAGTAAGTAATTTATTTTCATACAGTAAAAAAAAAAAAAAAATGGACAGGAAGTTTAAATTTATCAGAAAAGGTGCCTACGAATACAAAAACAAAATACTGTATATATATATATATAAAGAGTGACGAATGTTGACAAATGCTTCCGTTGATATATGGGCAAAAGTGATGTGCGCAGACACAGCAGCCGTAGGATGAAAAGTGTAAAATTCTAATTTAATGGCGAAAAAAAGTCACGCAAGAAAAAAGGGTGAAGTGCCGAAAAAAAGTTGTATTAGTTTACGGGAATAATGAAGACTAGGCACAAGAACGCTAATTACGTGGGAAAGAAACTTCTAAACAGGACGGAGTAAAAGTCAAAGTTAACACACAAGAACTTACAAAGATAAATTGTTAAATGAAAAATAGAATAAAGAATTGAAAATAAAAAATGAATAAAAATAAGAAAAGGGCCTGACGTCCGTCGACGTTTCGGCAGTGGCACTGCCTTCTTCAGGACGGGAGCCCATATGGCGTGGTAGGTTAGTTTTATAAAATATCTAGGGAGAGGGTTAGTTAACGCGAAAGTTCGAAGGGGTTTGTAGGGTAAGGGAAGCACGGGGGGGACGAGTCCAATTTTGTCGCGATGAGGGAGGCGGTTCTGGGTTTTTTTCACAGGTGCACTGGTGGTATGGAGGAGCTCGTAGGGAAGGGGAACACAGAGGGCAAAGTCCAATCTTGACGCGATGAGGCATGACAATTGTAGGTTCTGTTCGCCGGTGCATTGGTAGCAGAAGGAGCTTGCCGAGAGAGGAAGCGCCAGGGGGTATGAGTCCACTTATGTCGCGGTGAGGGATTAAGGTTGTGGATTTTGTTCGTAAGCTGCCTTCCCGGGTAATTACGGTGCAGTGAGTGAGTCGTAGCGTCCTTGAGTGACCGGGTCGTCTGGGGCCCTCTTTCTCCTTGTCCCCGAGGGCTGGTACGTCCAGACCCAAGAAGGAAGAAAGAGGAGAGAAAAAAAGGATTAAGTAGGGCGGGGATGTCGCGGCAGGTGGTCGTTTAAGCTGTGTATTGTTGACAGAGTGCCCAAATCTTTGTTAATTTTGCACTGGAATTTATGAATTAGGAATGACTCGCGAATTTCTCTATTTGTTTGACTCTTGAAGCCACTCTGTATGATGACTAATTTTGCCTCCGTTATTACATGTCCATTCTGGCTAAAGTGTTTGGATACTGGAAGGTCGGGTTTGCACCTAACGTCGGACTTATGGCCGTTGTATCTTTGACGAAACGTGGATTTGGTTTGTCCAATGTACTGCTCTTTACATTTGTGACATTCAATGGGGTATATTACATTGTCTGAGTCACAGTCGACATCGCTGCTAATCGTTTGACGGAAGTGCGAATTTGTGCTAGATACAATGTTAGTGGAAAGCATTTGACGGCATATCTTGCAAAGAGATTTTCCGCATGGTTTACATCCCGTTGGTTTTGAATGACTTTGTTTATTTAGTTTTGCATGCACGAGATTGTCACGAATGTTTCGAGGTCGTCTAAAAACCGCTCTGGGCGCGTCGGGGAATATTTCTTTGAGTTTAGTCGATTGCTCTATCAAGTACTGATGTTTCTTTAAGATCGAGCGGATGGCTGGGAGGTTATTACTGTAGGTAAGTGTGAGGTTCACAGGATTTTTGGGGGCATTTCGCGTGGTGTCCGGAGAAAGTATTAAATTACGATCTTTTGCACGTGCCTTGTCTATCGCGTTATCAACTAAGGCCGTTGGGTATTCACGTCCCCGGAACGCCTCCCTGAGTTGTTCTAAATTTCTGTCTAGATCGTCATCGTTTGAGCAGATTCGGCGGCATCGGAGGGCCTGGCTATACGGGATGGCTGTTTTGGAATGTCGGGGGTGCGAGCTTTTGAACGAGAGATATTGCTGTGAATCGGTTGGTTTTCGGAAGAGTGTGGTGCTTAATACACCATCTACGAGTTTCACAGAGACATCCAAGAAATTGATACTTGTGAGGGAATAAGAGCTTGTGAATTTTATAGTAGGATGAAACTGGTTAAAATTTTTAATGAAACAAAGTAGATCGCTAAGGCCGTGCTGCCAAATTATAAATATGTCGTCAATGTATCGTTTGTACAAGAGAGGAGTTAGCGCGCATTGTCTCAAGAAACTGTCCTCCAAAACTCCCATGAATACGTTCGCGTAGTTTGGCGCCATTTTTGTGCCCATTGCTGTGCCATTAGTTTGGAGATAATGGTTGTCGTCAAATTCGAAATGATTAAAGTTTAGTATTAAATCCAAAAGTTTTGAGAGAGTCTCGGAGCTGACAAGCTTGTCTTTTTTGCGGTTGTATGTGGAAGCGGTGGCCTGAATGCCGTCGGCATGTGGTATGTTGGTGTAGAGTGAGGATACATCCAAGGTTACCAATAGCGCGTTTGGGGGAAAGTCGACATTAGAAATGAGATTTAGAAAGTGTGTCGTGTCTTTGATGTATGAGTTAAAAGTTTCGGGGAGATCTTTAATGAGGTAATCTACAAAATTTGATAAGTTTTCAGTCACAGTGCTATTCGACGAGACAATAGGTCGGCCTGGGTTTCCTGGTTTGTGAATTTTGGGTAAAAGGTAAAAGCGTCCTGGTTTGCAGTCGGTGGGAGTGAGGAAGCTTAAGAGGTGGTCGTCTATTTTGTTCTCTTTGTGCATGCGCCTTAGGACCCGGGCGATGGTAGCTGCATAGTTAGCAGTCGGATCAGAAGTTAGGGCGGTATAAAAGTTTTGGTCACTGAGTTGACGCAGGGCTTCTGTTTTATACATGGCGGTATCCATTACGACTGTGGCCCCTCCCTTGTCCGCCGGCTTGATCACAATGTCGTTCCTTTGTTGAAGGTTCTCCAGACTTTTTTTCTCGACGGGTTTTAGGTTACTTTTTTTACCATTCGAGTCTTTGCGTCTACAATGCATTAAAACATCTTTTTGAATTCCCCTTACGTATAGGTCTAGATTCGGATCTTTGCTGGCGAATGGTGTAAAGTCGCTGGATTGTCTGAAGGGATGGATAGGGGGAGAGGAGACATTTCCATGAAAGTGCTCCCGAAGGCGGAGATTTCGAGCGAAATTATGTAGGTCGAGGTGCATTTGATATTCATTTACATGGTTATCGTCTGGACAGAAGGAAAGTCCCTTTCTTAATAGATTTATATCCGAGTGAGAGAGCTCAACTGATGATAAATTTACCACGGTGTTATCAATGATGCCGGATGCATTAAGCATACCGGCAGGTTCGCTCTGGCTTAGGGTAGGGGGCTCTGTGTCGGGTGACCGTTGTCGGATATCGGTTATCCCTTCCTCTCCGCGGGCTTGACAAGTCTCTTGCAGGGTGTCTGGATCGGGTGATTCTAGATCGATATGGTCGCGGGAAAACTTTTTGGATACTCTTACATGTAATGAATGGGACTTTTTGGTGATGAAGCTAGCTAATTCATGCTTGTGCTTTTCCGAAAGTGGCATGGTTTTGGACAGTTCCTCCTCCTCTTGGCGTAAGGAGGTTATATTAGATTTACATTGGGCAATTAGGATTTTGACTAAATCATTGGAAGTCCTCGAGAGCGACGCGCTCCATTGCGATGCATGTGCGGGATCAAGTGGAAAGTTTGGAAGAGCGGATATTCTAAGGCCCCTAGGGTAACTCTCGTTCTGGGAGTATCGTGATAATGACATGAGATGGTTTTCATAACTAATGCGTTTTCCAATTATTCTGCGGAGGCGAAAGAAATGCTGACCAGGAGCGTTTTGGTTAGGTTTATATATATATATATATATATATATATATATATATATATATATATATATATATATATATATATATATATATATATATATATATATATATATATATATATATATATATATATATATATGAGATACATGACTGTGAACAAATATTACACAACACAATTGATTTCTATATCTCATCCAGGCGCAGACAGTAACGACAGTAACTTACATTTTGACGACACGTGGCCTGTTTCTCGTAGTCAAACTATTGTCCTCAAGTGTAGAACCGCCTCGTTCCTTCGCCACAGAACCACTTAATTAAAAATAATATCTAGAAAAAATGAGTCCCCGGTCAGTTAATTATTTTCTTCGGAGTCAAACATGAATTCATTTATATATATATATATATATATAAATGAATTCATGTTTGACTCCGAAGAAAATAATTAACTGACCGGGGACTCATTTTTTCTAGATATTATTTTTAATTAAGTGGTTCTGTGGCGAAGGAACGAGGCGGTTCTACACTTGAGGACAATAGTTTGACTACGAGAAACAGGCCACGTGTCGTCAAAATGTAAGTTACTGTCGTTACTGTCTGCGCCTGGATGAGATATAGAAATCAATTGTGTTGTGTAATATTTGTTCACAGTCATGTATCTCATTGTTATAAAATAATCAAAGAAACCATTTGCTGGAACAATGGTGATACAATTAATATTGTTATAAAAATCAAGCGTTCGGCGTTTAATGTTCATCGCCATTCGTCCCTTTCCTCGCGCCTTCCTTCTGCCCTCCTTTTCGTCGTCTTCCCATTCGCAGCACCGCCACAACACCGCCCCCCGACAACAGATGAAGCTCGCCCCGGGGTGGTACAAAAAACAATATTCAGTCGGGATGATAGGGAACCAGCCGATCAAAATGAACAACGTGAACTTTCCGGCTTAGCAGGTGCCAAACCCGGTACACGACGTCGTTTAGTCGCTTGACAACTTCGTAGGGGCCTTCCCAATTGGTTTGAAGTTTCGGGCAGCGACCTTTGCTGCGGCGTGGCTGGTGCAGCCACACTTTGTCTACAGGCTGGAGTATGCGACCCGAGCAGCTTGGTTGTAGCGGGTTCTTGCACTTTCACTGCTCAGGTGCAAATGCCTTCGTGCAAAATCGTGCGCACAGTTCAGCTTTATTCGCAGGTGGCGGGAGTAGTCCCAATAAGGAAATTTGCGTGTTGTCTCACGCGATAGAAGCAC